ATTCACGGATCATCAACGTTAATCTAATTAATTAAACGCGTTCTTCAACGATTGAAGATAAAATCAAACTAATTTTGAATAGTTGTCAGATATCAGCGATATCCAAGAGTTACACGCGTGTAACTTCTCGCTTTTGCGAGTACGACAGCGCGGTGACATTCATCCCCTGTCGTTGATATCAACGTTTGGTACATAGAAAATCCATTATACTAAATCGACACAGATGTAACTTGCTAATATCGATGGCAGATGTACTGGCAATATTGGATTGCGGCACACTCGTTATAATGGGATTTACATTACGTGGGTGTGGTTATGATTGAATATGATGTACATCCGACGAACGGATCAACAAGTCACCGATGGCACCGAATATTAATCGAGGAGATAGAATTTATAACGTCCGCGCCAATAGCGCGTTATGCATTTAAATTAATCCCTTATTATGACCCGAATATATCGCGTTATTGTGGAACCTAATCGCACGCCACCGCTCCATTCGTCACAACACGAAAGTAGAGCACCAATAAATTCATAATCGTAAATTAACGTAATGCGAATTAATTGTAAATAAATCATTCATATACGTGTGTCTTGTAGAAAATAAATAGAGTTGATAGAAATCACGCGCAATTTCGTATAGATTTTGTCTAAAAAATGGTGAGATAATCAGAATAAAATTTTATATCTTGAAATAAGCTGGTTATACAACTGGTTTATACAGCTGGTTTATACAGCTGGTTTAACAACAATTAATTAAATCTGAAATTATTTCTATATAGATATTTTCTATTTTATGTTAAAATATTTACTCAATTTCATATTATTTTAATTTGTTTAACATAAAATCAATACATATGAATAAATAAGCTATAAAATATTAGGATAAAATTGATAAATAGAATATAAGAATAAACATAATTAGTATAATTTATAATAATTATATCCACTGTTTTCTATTTATGCTTATATATATGTATAAATTTATATAATACATAATATAATTCTAAAAAGATATTGAGAGACTAAACGCAAATTTCAAATACTTCAAAGATATCAGATAGATTTTTTGGAAACGTTGTGCGCGTGCATTCTCACACAATCGACCAACACTTATATATCTATTCCACATTTCGAGAATTATATATTGAACCTAATCTTGAGAATAGATAGCCCATCCATTCTAAAGCAATAGATCTTTGAAATGTTGTATTTATTTGTAATATTATGTTCTTTATTCAATGCATGTGTATATTTATACGTATCTACAATTTATATATATAACCTGATACAATTTATCTTCACAGATCTATTACCTCAGTTTAAAATAGGAGATAATTTATCACTCACCGATATGCGATGCGCAACAGCGGAGTTGCAGTGCAAGCTTGCGTCGAGCTGTAAAACACAAATACATCCGGATTAGAATAGCGCGCGAAATAAGTAATATCTTAAAAAAATCCATCACACCTAAGGGAAATGTTTCGCTGTTCCAACTATAGAATTCTAAATATTACACTTAAATTATATCGCTCTTTTTCGTATCTGTTAAAAAATTGTCTGTCATACGTAGAATTTATAGCAGCAATAGTCTAAAAATATAGATATGCAAGAAAATATATGTCTCATAACCAAATATGATTGGAGTCTGGACTGATTAAACGTCATACAAAAACTTTCTTGCTAAATTTGACAAATAGTTCAGATATAATTTCTGTCTCTGTTATCTGTTGATATGATTATAAAATACAAAACGTATGTGGTATCGCAGTGCTTACTAATCACTTATCCATTTTAGTTCATTTCTCGTACCTAAATAATTCTCGCTATAATTGCAAGATTATTTTTTTCAGTGTCATTGTGAGCATAAAATAATTGTATTTCCGAAAAAAAAAAAGAATCTTAAGTATAAGCTTTTATAAAATTGTATAATGAACACAAGTAATGAATGGTAAATTACTCACCCCACGGTTGCTTCGCCGTCACCCGATGCCTCCCCGGACCTCTGCCTCCTCTCTTGTTCCTTTGTTACTGCTTCTTCGTGGCACCCACACAATATTCACTTGCGGAAACACGATTAATTGTGATCGCGCGCGCACTAATTATATCAAGAACACAATGATCGCGCGGCACTTGCACGCCACTTTCAATGTTAATCGCGTGCGACACGCACTTTATTGTATTCCGACGAAAGAAGTTACAACCGCACGACGTTACGATTTGCATTTGACTCATTCATTTCCCCAACGTTACATTAATAATCGAAAAATTTGTAAAAAGCGTCAGTGTCTCATTCTGTTGTCACGTGATTCGGCGCGATTAATAAAATCGAGTCAATTATTAATTTCAAAGTGTGATAAACTTTTCAAAAAATGCTATCGAGATTCGATACTTGTTCGGCAGAAAAAGATTCAAATAGCGACATGAGATATGTATACGTATGTCAAAATCCAAACGTGAGAAACAGCATTAAATTATTACTCGATAAACCGCTGAAGTAGTTACGACAATAAGAATTCCTGTTTCTACACGCAGAGAAAGGATTAGCCAACACAGCTAGAATATGACCGTGGTAGCTAATGAGTGTCTTTAAAATAGGAATAGCTAATATTGTTACTGCTAAAGCTAAATTTATTAGTTGTTAAAATTTAAACGCTACAGTAAAAAATATTTGCTATTAGACTCAAATAACGTTTAGCTAATTCTGTTAAGGAATATCCAGCAAAACTTTTAAATTTTTCAGCAAAATCTTTCCGTATGCCACTTTCTTAATTACTTCTGTTAAAGTACGCTTTTATTTTAGCTAATAAAATTGTATCTCGCAACAAATATATTTTAATATCTAGATAACAGAGACAGAAATTATATCTGAACTATTTGTCAAATTTAGCAAGAAAGTTTCTCTATGACGTTTAGTCCAGACTCCAATCCAGACTCCAATCATATTTGGTTATGAGACCTATTTTTTCTTGCATATATTCTTGGAATATTGCTGCTATAAATTCTACGTATGACAGACAATTTTTTAGCAGATATAAAAAACAGTAATATAATTTAAGTGTAATATTTAGAATTCTAGCTAGAACAACGAAACATTTTCCTGAGTGATAAGTATCAAACTGGCTCATATAATTAAAAATTAATCAGTATCAAAAGAAAGTATCAAAAGAAAAACTAGTGAGCCTTGCACGGAGTTAGTGCTGTGATATAAAGTATATTTAACATACTAATTTGGACTCATTAAACGTATCGGCACCGCATTGAGTCATCCTCAGTAAGAGGATGTAGAGGGTAAGAATACAAAATTTCGTTAATACATTACATTAAATATATTTTATCTTTAATAACTAACTTTTAGCAATGACAGCAAAGTTCGAAATAGCTATTGATATTTAGCTAATAATGCTAAGTTATTTCTTTCCGTGTATTTGCTTTGATTTTTATTTTGAAAAATATAAATCGCGCAAAGTGTCTGTTCCGATAAATAGTCACTTGCTTCGACGCGCTTACGAATCGTTAATTGTAAAAGTAAATCCACTCCACGGATCAACGATCGCTAACTGTTCGTATATGATCGCGTTTTCTAGATAGAAATAACGCGATAGTACACGGAGCGACTCACGTCACGCCGCTTATACCTGTGCGAATGATAGCGCGGCAAACTGGTGTAAACACAGCGCGCTGTGCAGCACAATACAAATATCAAGGCCGCGTCAGGCGGTTTACCGTTCCGAAATATGTAACGTACTATGAAATGGATTGTAAGCCGAATGTTGTGCTTGATCTTGTATTTCTCTAACCGGTTATTGATAAACAATCGCAGTTTTCCGTTATTTAAACGACTGAATCCGACGACGCGTATTACTCCGCGCGCTATCTCAACTGGAAAGTATAGTACGTGAAATACCTTTAAATCTGTTCGGTAAACAGTGGAATGATTTAAGCATTATTAAAGAATAACTACCGTCTGTGAGTATCATGAAATTTTAATCTGACGTGCAACCACGTGGCGCGCGCGATGCAATTAATAAAGTCGAATTACTGTCTAATCAAGAACACAATGGAATTTCGAAAATATACAATCGAAATCTAGTATTACGCGCACAATTAAATAAAATCCTGCAAAATGCATGTATTAATAAATGATTTATCATTGCTCTCCATTATTTAACTCGATTATATATCTCGCGTATCTTTCCGTGCGCTTTCAATCCGACAATTATAGACGTATTACATTTGAATTGACGAAGAATTCCGACGCAAGACATATCGCTGCATTGATGGAAAAGTGATACAAGTAAAAAATTAACATTTTTCTTATATCTTTAAAGATTTGAGAATTTCCTTTATTAACTCAAAAATGCTAACTTTTTACATATAATTTATGTAATTTTTAATGTATCTAGATGTAACCGTTAAAGAAACTATAATTATTTTTTTAAATTATTAGCTGTGTAAAGTTGCCCCCCCCCACTACTAAAAATTTAAAACAACCATTACCATTCGATTGGTAGTCATTATAGTAGTATTTAGTAGTTCATTCTCAATTGGTAGTCAAAGTTGTAAATAATAATATGAAAAAAAGACATACGTGCCTGAAGTTAGCCCCTCCTTTCGCGAAATATGGTTTTCTAGACTGCGTAAGTAATCATAACTGTAATTTTCAGTAGTGGGGAAGGGGCAACTTCACACAGTTACGATTATTTTAGTTCTTGCTTTAAATGTATAAATTGAAAAAAATTGTTTCGACGACTAACTGTTGTATCGATACACATATCGTTAGTCATGAAAATTAATTAAAGGGCAACAATGAGTTAACCCATATTTTGTAATAATGGCGAAAATAAATTTTAAAGTTAAAATTGAATTTTAGAGTTATTTTCTCCGTTTTTATAAAATGTTATTAGTTATAATGTAGATTAGCCTACTATTGTAGTAGACTCTTCAGTTGCACATATGGATAGATAATTAATCAACTATACGATGATTGTGTTCACAAGGTCTGGTGACGCCTGCCACAATCGTGTCTCGAGAGGAATGTGGTTCGCGTTTTACTACCTCGAGTGAATGACAGCGTGGCGATCTTAGATCATAAACAGCGTTGTGTACAAACGAGCGACGTGTGTAAGTGTCAATCAGTTCGGTGCCGTTACGAGAAATACTTAAGGTAAAATAAACATACAAAATAAACGTACGCGCTGAATATTCGGTTTCTTGAATCTCATGTCACATTCATTCAGATAAATATTATGATACTTTATTTTGCATCTCATTTTTTTATGAATTCGTTAGTATCGCTCCCAATAATGATTAATTCTGCTTGATTGGGAACGTTTTGAAAGCTACATTGTTACTCAAAGTCTATTTCGTCGATAATATATTTTTCTCATTAATAACGCGAATAAATACGGGTCTTTTAATGAATTTCTCAGTACCTCGTTTTGTATCGCGACATTCATTAAGATATTGAAAATAGTTCGATTGATCTTTCTTAAGTTAATTCTTTTATTAGTGCTTATGTATTTTAATATTCATCCCTAGATATGTGTTTCTGCATTTTCATATCAAACAGTTAAAAACAAGTGTATTTCTGTTCGTGAGAGTGGCTTTATTCCTTCCGAAAGACGCAGTTGAAGATTTGAAATCGCCGTAGTACGTTAACCGCTCGTTAAACCGCGTATATATTTTACGCGCAAGCTCTCGAAGCGTTACGGTGCCTTCGCCGCCGTAAAGCGACCCGTTAAGTCTAGAATCTAACGGAGAATAACTCGCGTCGTTAATTATCGGTAGAAAAGGCTGACAGGCCGGAGAGCGCGCGCGGACAAAGAAGACGCCCGCCGACGGAAAAAAAAAAGAAAGAAAGTAGGAGGGAACTTTGCACTAGATCCATCTCAATGTCGAAACGTTATATACATATAATTTATATAGGTGGGATATATGTGCCTCTCGCGCCGTCACATAGAAAGTCTTTTTCTTACGCGAGACAGCTGTCCGAAGATTTGCATAAGCGGCTTTTCATGATAGCCTTACTTTCCATCGCCCCGGCTCTTTCGTAATTTTGATTAACATCGCAAATTGCGATACGAAAAAAACCGGTCGAATCCGTCGTAACTCCGGAATCGAGTTAAACGAATTTTCGCTTTTTCACTTTAAAGAGATTTCCCACCTGGAACATAGTGTTTATAAAACGCTCTTAATGACGTCAATTATTCTTTATATTTGAACGATCGCACAGCTGGCGAATAACAAATTTCTCCTCTTAAAATAAGGCTACATATTTGATTATAAAACATGATTACTTAATATGTAATATATAAACTAGTTGATTACTTAATATAATATATAAATTAATATCTTATAAAGAGCTATCTTAGAATATTAAATAATTAATGACGATATAGATTGAAATAATTCCGACAAATTTAAGGAAAAGGATAGCTTGCTAATTGAAGATATAGTCGATATATGAACGAGAAATGCTTGTAATTTTGAGAGTTATATCTGGTGTGTGTTTTCATGTTGTCAATTACACTTAAAATTATGTCTCATTTCTGTCAATTTAAGAAAATACATCTGGCTTTCATCGCACAGACTGTCTTTGTGGAAATAATTAAGGTGAAAACCGAATGCATTGTCAGCTACGTATACCGGCCCTATACGTATACGAGCTGTAATCACGAATCCGGCTGAATATATTTGGACCAATGGAATTTCAGATTCCTGCCATTCTTGTCGCTTTGGTTGACATTAAACCAGCGCGTGTCAAATTAATTTGTGACTCGGGATTTAATTCTCGGAGATCGCTAAGAGGGGGGACTAAGTGGGGGACGTCAAGGCTTGAATGTTGGTTTTAATCTTGAATTAATTTCAAGCTTGCACGTGTCGAAGCGACGCGCTTAGACACGCGTCTGTCATATAAAGCGAATCTCTCGCGGCAAATGAAGTGTATAAACGACTTGAATTTATCGATATCATCGATCCGTGTCCGACGTTATTTTGCAGTCTGAATTCAAGACACACATTGTAAGTACGAAAAAAAAAAAAATGAATTGTCCAATGCCAAAAATTAACTTTAACGTCTCGAGAGAATCGACGGGTTTATATACAGATTTGGCAATTACCTCGAAACGCCTCTTTATCAGTCGTTATCGTCGTAATTGCTTTATTCTGCATTATTCGCGATCGACGTAATGTCTTAACGAAAGAGATGGAATCGAATCGATGGATCTCGATAGATGGAATCGAAGGTATGGACGAATTACCTGAAGGGTAAGACGAGTACGGGAAAGAAGAGGAGAAGAGGAACGCGCTCTTGAGAGTTTTCGGGACGAGCGCGCGAACGAGCGTTTAGGAGGATGGTCCATTATCAGGGCCAATATCCAGGATGCTCGACAACCCTCTTAACGATCTCACCCAACTACTATACCCTTTATCTACCTCATTCTCCTCTTTCCTACTTTCCCTTATCGCCCCTCCCTCCCTCCCGCCCTCCCGCCGTCTGCACTCGTTCTCGGGAACCCTTTCGCCTCCTTCAGCGGCAATTACGTTTCCCCGGCGAGTTTCCTATGCGATTCGCAATCGCAAATTGACAAAGAAGACGTCGAGGACGACGGGCGGCGACTACGACGCGACGTCTTCGGGACGTTCCTGGACGTTCGCATCGTCATTTCGTCTAATTTGTCTCTTAAACAACCGCGTTTGGATTTATCGAGTTTCCGTAGCCTGACCCCGCCGTGTAGTTTCGTACGAATAAGCTCGCGTTAATTATAAGCGGCGCGACCCGTTTTAACTCTCGACAGTCGCGTTCCTCTAACTTCTAACTAACCCTTGCATTGTCTGTTCATCCCCCCATCCCAGCTTTCTAGCGGCCACGGCGCCCAGACTCCGGCTCTCTTTGTCACGTCGCCTTTTTCCTCCTTCTTCCCGCCGTGTCCGACTTGCCGTACTCGTAATAATATCTTTTTCGGTGTTTGCTCGTTACGTCCGTGTCCTTTATTTTCTTAGTGCGCGCGCGCGCGCGGGGTATGAAAGAACGGCGAGAACGTGACCCCGGCATACGCAAATGCCACCGTGCCCGCGATAGTTATGTTGACTCTGCTCCGTGAAGATTGTCGGACGCTGAATTTAAAAGAGGGGCTTGAATTAGATTTAAATATAACAGTGCATTAAAGCGTTAAAGTTTAATTCGTAAGCGGAACCCCGCATCTCTCGTGTCTGATGAAAATTCATGAGAGGTTAAAAAACTCGGATTTACACCATTTAAGTGACACGCATACTCTATGTATACGTTATTACTGCGACGCGACTCAATTACACTTGTCGATGTTACAATCGTGGGGACAAAAATACGCCTATAGGGTAAACCCGGCATATACGCCGCAGAAGTCAGAAAAAATAGAAGAAGTGAAACTAATTGTCTCGCAACCACTCAGTTACATGCCTTTACGTTATATTAGTATTGTATTGTGATTTCAATTTTTTACTGTTAATATTTATAAAATCATTGTAAGTTAAATCGATTTATCACTGTAATAAAGAGCGCAATCATAAGTTATAATCTACATAAAATGTGTCTCTTATACACATCTCTGAGCGGGCTGGCA